AAAAGTTTGTTTCTGCGAAAATCTTAATGAATTTATGACAGCGCAGCAGATCACACGGAAGTTCTTAGAAGTAACACAGGCAGCACGTGCCAACAACAGCCACACTCTGGCTATCGATGGCTTTCTTTATCGAGAGCTGCTCAGCAATAAACGGTGGGCTTAGTTTTCGAACTCTGCAGATGAACAAACTGTATCCAGAAAAATTTCTTTATTTTTCCTGTGTAATTTTAAGCTCAGGGGAGAAAATTCATTGGTCGATGCGTGTGGCGTTGTCGCTACTTTTGTATACATCATCCGTGCACACAGTTCTCGGAGACCTGTTAACAGTATGCCCGGATGTGAGTGCTTCTATTCGTCCAAGCTATTGCAAGAAAGCTTGCACTCGCGATGATCAATGCAAGAAGGTTAACAAGCGATGCCTTTGCGATGGCCCATGTGGCTTATCATGCGTCAATCCATGTAAGTTCTGTTCCGCGTTGTCATCTCAAATCAGTCTTATCACGGCACGATGTCATTTGCTCCTGTTGTGATTTAGTATCTATTTTGTTTTATGCTCAAACACCCGGAGATTACAAAACTTTGTGACAATAAGTGAGAAAACTGATTAGATGCCAGAAGACTTTGTAGTCTCGGACTGTTTGAGCATAAAACAAAAACGTCATCATTACCGCCCTTCCACTTTTCATTATGCGTTTTTTGCAACGATGCAATGTAGAAAACGCATATTGACGAGAGGTTGTCTGTGTCTGTTTGTGTGTATGTGTGTGTCTGTGTGTGCACCTCGCATCTGTACCGAATTTTCATCTCAAGACCCACAAAAGCTACGGGGCTGAAACTTGGGGAACTTAATCTCCATGCGTGTACAGGCCACCACCTCCGAAACGGGCGCTCTTACCCGCGTGATGCCCACGTACAGGTTCGCCGAAATTTCTTCGGGTAAGTTTTTAACTTGGGAACCTGAAAAACTAGAAGGCCGAAATTTTAAGGGGATGTTCCCCGTCCAAGTAGGTATTGATGAGTCTAAACCCAGCCCTCGGGTATACGTGATACCCACATACGGGCCCGTGAAAGTTTTTCGAGTAAGTTGCTAAGACAGGAGCCAGAAAAGCTAGAAAGCTGAAATTTTAAGAGGTGTTTCCCGACAGTTCTAGCGGCCAGTCTTAATTTGTTTAGCTGGAAGCATTTGCAGGAAATACTGGTGCCGATAGCGGCTAAAACTGCGGAGAACTACGCAAAAAACGCATCTTCGCACGGGCAGCCCGTGCGTTGGCCACTTATTTGGAAAGGTGCGTATCTTATCGCCCTAAGAGATCGATAAAACCCCAGCATTGCTATTCTCTTTGACTGACTGAAGCAATCCAAACGATAGTACATGTTAAAGGCAAGTACTGCCTAGTAAAGTTAACAAAGTTCCACTTTTTTGAGGTTTACTTTGAAAACAAGTTTGAGACAGCCGACGTCCCTGCGTACTGAATTTTTCATTGACAGCTTGCGGTAGAAATGATAGGTCAAGCCTGCGAGTGGCTACCACTACCACTGCCCCCAGTAGTTAAAATGCCGAGCGCTTCTACCATATTGTTGCAGTGACGACGTGTCACCCGTTAGTCGATCTGCCCAATGGTTTCATTCGAACTCCGGGCGATTTCTTGTTTGGCTCAAATGCAGAATACGGCTGCAACGAGGGATATATACTTGTGGGTCCCTCGCAACGACGTTGTCAGGCCAATCGGGAATGGAGCGGCACAAGGCCCGAGTGCAGATTATTGAGTAATTTTCAGGATGATTCAGATTTCTCTATTTTTATTTCTTTGAAGATGGAGCTGATTGTTCCGACAATTTTGCTCTAGAAAATGCAATTTCAGAAAAATGTGGGCCACCACCGGAAATCCCGTATGCCCAGCACGATGGTAACTCGTACAGTGGCCAGTATGAACTCGATACCGAGGTCTATTACACATGCGTGCCCGGATATCACCGATACAATAGCAAAGGCATTACAATAGCGAAATGTCTGCTAAACCGAGAGAAAGCCGCTCAATGGTTTGGCCCCGACTTGCGATGCAAAGGTTACGGAACTCCCTTTTCTCAAGTGTGAACTTCTTGAAAATACGGTGTTTCGCACCGAATTTAGCATCTTCTTTTACATCCACCGGCTGATTTTATTAAATTCATGCACTTTTCATCTCGTCGTGGCAAGTTTGACTTCTTTAGGAGCGCACTGGGAAGGAATTATGATACTGTGTGTGCATCTGCGCCTGGAAGCACATTTGTAACTGATATTTACTGGCAGCTGAAATTTTGTGGAATACATGTGGCCCTTAAATTTGAAGGATGTTGTGTCAGCCGTTTCTTCCCTAACAACAAGCGAATCTTGCAGCTCGCAGCTGTCCCGATCCTGGCAATATCATGAATGGAATACGCAAAGGCGAGCTGTATTACTACCCACATACCATTGAAATCGTATGCCTTCCCGGCTATCAATTGGTTGGCTCACCCAAAATTCGCTGTCTGAGTAATGGCCAGTGGAGCGCTCAGCTACCCCACTGCAAACGTAATCTTTTTTTTTACTGGCATCCCACTTCCAAGTTGTCTCTCCGGGCGCTCCTAACAACACCGGTAAATTGAACTACAATGAGGCACTGTGCCCACGGAGTGTACTTCGTTAATAAATTCATTTCGATAATTTACATTTTGTCGATTCAGTTTGTTGACCGCCTGTTATTTCAGTTCCTTGCTCTACTGGGGTACATGAGCGAGGGAAGAAAAAACTGAGTTAATTTTGAAACCCAGTAATTCTTTTTGTATTTCAGCAGCAGAGTGTAAGAGGCCGTCGGACCCGTTACACGGCAAAGTGCTTGGTAGTTCACTAACTTATCAATCGCGAGTCACATATTCATGCAAAGAAGGTTATCGACTTGTAGGTCAGGTACAAAGGATATGTCTTGCTGAAGGAGTATGGGCTGGCAATGAACCGGTTTGCGAAGGTTAGCTGTGACTATGTCCAAGCAATGGAATGCTTTGCGTTTCAAATTCAGATGCATATTACAATAAGTGAATAAATTTACTATGAATCTCTGCGTAAGCACACCGCCACTGAGCAGACCCGGTCCATCGATGTGCGCAAGTTGAAATCGCCTGGAATATAAATAGTTCATCTGCACAGCTGGCAACTTTTCTGTTTCCGCAGTTGCTTTCAGCAGTTCTGCTTCGACTACACATTCGTCTCGCATTTTGGGAAGTTAAAAGCCGAAAGATTCTGTTAACAGAAGTATCTGGTAGGTTTTAGTCGTTTCGAGGTTTTCCTTATGTGTGTCCAGCATCATCACGTCGTACCGGATGGCCACGATATGGCATCTGTTTCATCGTCGTATGTTAGAATATGCACATTCAAAAAAACGAACTAAAAGATGGATGATTTTATGGCTTCAGCTTTTTAATTACTTGCATATTTAAGAGATTCGTTGCCCGCCGTTTCCGCCACTGCATAATGGCTATATCGAAGGCGATGAAACTCATTTTGGTGCCGTTGTCGTATTTCGTTGCTTGGAAGGGATGAACCATATCGGTGCGCCATATGCCAAATGCGAAGACGATGCACGCTGGTCGCATCCGATGCCCACTTGCTTGAGTAAGCTTCAATATAATCTTGTGCAGCAACCAAACATCATCAGTGCTTTACGTGATCGTAAAGGTATGCAATGCGCAGACAGCGGAATAATCCGTCATGCGTCAGAAAAGCGCATGTTACGTGACACGTGCCGTAGCCACCGGCATTCACTGAGAATTTTTTCGTATGATCATTCGAAAAAATTCATTCTCAACTAAAATGTACTTTTCACTATTGACATGATTTTTTGACACTTTAATCAGATGCGGTTCATGACGTGGCTCTCTAATTAAGCAGCCAACAACTTTTCCAGTTGTTTTGACCAATGCCGCACCGCAGGATGAGGTGCGGCGGTTTTGACGTTCGTTTATCTTCTGTAGAGATTTCCAGCTTAGCAGGTTTTCCATCAAAAGCATTTGGCAAGGCTTTATTCGTTTAGATACATCATCGCTGTATTGAGTTCCATTACCTCATCGCGAGCGTTGTTGCTTCTTGGCCTTACCAAAAAAATTGGCCAACGCACGGGCTGCCCGTGCGAAGATGCGTTTTTTGCAGAGTTCCCCGCA